CCCCAAAACCCCAAAACCCCAAAACCCCGCCTTTAAAATATGAAAGCTACCTGGTTTATTTAAGAATAATCAAATAAAATGTTTATAATCTAAAATGCTATAAGAATTTAACTTTGTGTCGCAGAGAATTCATTCCAAATCAGCTTAGGGTTCAAGCAGAAATAAAAGCTAGGGGGCAGTCTTTGACTATCCAGCAAAGATTAAGAATTTGTTAGTCTACTTAAATAAAAACATGAATGAACAGAACCTTAACCTAGCTGCTTTCAACACTGATAGATTACTTAAAACATAAGCTGCTTTAAATCAAGACATTATGCCATAGCAACATGCTTTTTATTAGACAAATCAACCTCCCACTGGTTTTCTTGAACGCTAAACTCAAAGTAAAATACATATCAATTAAATAATTAGAATAAATACGCAAATCTCTATTATTTTCTCCAAGAAATGAGTATTAGGGATTAGAACAGCGTAGGAGTGATACAAGTTTGAAGCTACTTCACAAATCTGGGAGATATGATACTAAGTATCTCCAAATGGAGGATCAACTAAAGAAGCTTTCCTTACTCAAGAGCCATGATAGATAAAATCTGATACAAAGCGCCCGAAATCAAAGGTTAGAATCTAATTAAGAGGGGAGAGATACAGGTGATAAATAGTAATAAGACGATCACTCCAGAAAACATGAAGATGATGCTGATATCGATGTCAAAGGATAGGCCTTGCAAAAAAGGGTTAATCATAAGTATCTCACATTTTCAGGATAAAACTTTGCAACATTTTAAGATAGAATGCCATCACCAATTCAAAAAGTTAGAGATATCCCTTATAAAGCTTAGCCAGTAATGTTAACTGAAAGATTTAGCAAATCTAAGTATTCATAGCCAATTTATATCATAAAAACCAGTCCAGATTCCAAGAAAAATCAGATATTTTATGAAAATAAAAACCTCTTTTTCTCACACTTAAGACCCAAATCTAAATCCAATTCCAGAAATGGTTCTCCTTTGAAGAGAATTGTTGTTAATCCAAATAATGTTCCAATACAACAACCAACAATGCTTGAGTTATCTAAGGAAAAGTTGAATGCAAGGATTCATACCTAAATGTTTCCGATATAGCAGCATTAGGAGCTAAATCAGTTGCACCAGATGAATGAATAAAGATAACTATTTTCTTCTTAGAGCTAAAGGCTTTAGTAGTCAATGAGGAAAAATCATTCTAGTCATAGTATGAGGTCACTTTTAAGGCAGTAGCTTATGATGAGTGACTATTTAAAGAAGACCAATTTGCAGCAAAAAAGAGAGGAGATGGGTCGGCTGACTGAAGCATTGAACATTAAGAAATATTCATTTAATGAGTTTAGAGTGATTTAGAATAACATTAATTAATAATAATGAAAAGAGTAGAATGATATTTATGATCATCTTAACTTAAGTGTGAGTAAACTTTCTTGACTTGCTTTATCATTTTGATGTTTTAATGTGCTGGAAATAAGCTCTCAGCCATTTAGTAATATGTCTCTCATTTATCCATTCGAATCCCCATCCAAAGTAAAAAAGGATGATGCCCAATAAAAAGAATAGGCCTAAGTTCATTATCGTTGCTTTATTAGGATCTAGCATTGATTCAGCTAGGGATCTTTTCTTTTCATTACAATCGTGACCATAAGAATCTGAGCCTTATTTTGCTTTAGATTTCTTAGTCTTAAATTTATCCATCTTTTCTTTCTTTTCCTAATATATTCTCCAAGCATAGTTATAAACTTCTTGATTTAAGTCATTCGAGTGGAAGAAAATGCTATCTGCTATTTCCAATTTGACTTCTTCAATAATAGTAGACAATTTTGGATTATTTAGCACATCTAAGTTTTGTTAATCAAGTCTATCCTTAATTTAAGAGTTCAAGTTATTCATATCTATCATTAATGCGAATTCTATCTATTTAAATACAGATGAGAAATATTAGTGCTCATTGATCCCCTTTTGCAATTAAGCTTGGTTATCATTATCTCTGAAAAACTAAATTAGTTCTGGATATTTTTCATCCATTCTATATAGCAAATTTAGGATAGATAAGATCTTACATATACATTACTTAGTACATCTCATTTTCTTCTATAGTTACAGTTTTCATTGCCTTTACTTTCTAAAGTTTTTGGGCCTCAAGTAATTTTTAGGCTCTTTTAAGCATTAAAGATGCTATTTTTAGTTCATTAACGATTCTATCATCAATCTCCTTTTAAATCTTATCATAGAGCTCTTGATATTTCATCATTTACTTTTAGGGTTTATTACTTTATAAACACTCTTTATCTACTAACTCAAGAGCATCTTATAGCCTTTGGATGGTGGACGTTTTATCAAAATAAATAACCTATATTTTGTTATTATAATTGGAATTAATTTACTTATGATTTCCTAAAATAGATTTCTGGGTCTTTAATGTAATTATCAAGTATTAGATCGGCACATTTCATAGCTTCATCAAAGTGAAACAAACTCATATAGGCTAGCATTGAATTGATTAAAGTACTCCCAATCATAGATTGATCTAGTAATTGATTATAAAATAAATAGTCTTACTAGTCTCACTCTCTATTTCTCTGTCTGATTCTCTTATTATTCTGCGCTCCTTAAAGTCTACATCTTTATCAGTAATGTAATCGCCCTTAAGATCGTGAAATAATTTATCAGAAAAGCCTTCTTCTATAAAATCTAGCCATATATAGCAACCCAGAACTTATTCATAAACATCTAAGGCTTCATAGTATTTGCCTTAATCATAAAACTTGTTGCCCTTTATCTTGGTATCATCTGTTATAAAGAATAATTGCCCAATATCTGCAAGTTCCCTCATTTTTGACATCATATCAAGGTCCAGAAACAAGGAATGCTTGACAACATATGGCAGAGAATTCAGAAATTCACAAGATTCAAGCTTAAACTCTCTGATTTATTTTGGTGTTTGTGGACTAAATAGATAATCCAGCTTAGATATGTATTTCAGTCTAGAACAAAAATTAGTATAAGAATATAAGAATTTTACGGGTAACCTTGAGTAATATTCTTGCCTTGTGGATCTGTTATCTCCTTGCTAAAGAATGGGCAGCCCATTATTGGTTTCTTCTCAGTATTAGAAATCAATTATGATTTCAGCTGCTGTTTAGAATTTTCATCAGCTGATGAACTCCTAGTGCTGACCGCTGTGATCTAAAATTTTTATAAAATCTCTTAAAATTTGGTACCATCTCTTATTTCATTTGTGCAGGACACTATAGCTGAACTTAGGCATTTTATGAAGGTAAAGGCTTGTGCATTCCACTTTTAACCATTTCATCATATTGTTTCAGCATTTCATTTTTCCTCTCCTCTGGAAGAAGATGCAAACTTGAGAGGACTGGGCAAGTTCCCTCTCTAAATTAATCTGATGTATTTTAGCTTTGACTGTTGAATTAATTAAAATTAGACATTTTTAAATAAAATTATATAGAAAATCACCCCCATCAAATCACAATCGAAATACTGCACCTTGGGGTTTTGGGGTTTTGGGGTTTTGGGG